TTTATTCTGAAAGAAAGCTTTGATTCATTTTGAGAGTTTGTAGTGACCAGAGTGTTCTGTGCTCTTAAGGCCTTATTGTGGACCCTTACACTCATGTGCCATTTTAGTGGCCAAAATTCATTCCTTTTTACATACTTTTCTCAGTCTTGCCTACTGTGCTTCATAAAGAGTCCCTATTTTTATTTTATTTTATTTTTATTGTTGTCTGTAAGCTGGCAAATGCCCAATTATTATATTCTGCTTAATCTTACACAGATGCTAATACCCACACAGGTCTTGTAGTGGTTGGTGCTTTGTCCCTACCTTCTTGTATTTGGGGATTTTGTACATGCAGTGTTTTCTGATTTTATGATGGAATTCAGAGAGACTTAAAAAATATATTTTTTTAAATCAAGGGTCTCACTCTGTTGCCTAGGTTGGATGCAGTGGCACAATCAAAGCTCACCACAGTCTTAACCTCCTGGGCTCAGGTGATCCTTTTGCCCTGGCCTCCAGAACAGTGGGGACTATAGGTAGGCACTATCATGCCCATCTAATTGTTTAACTTCTTTTGTAGAGGTGAAGTCTTGCTATTTCTTGGGCTTTAGTAATCCTCCTGGCTGAGACATAAAATTTAAGATGCTGTCACAGAATTCCCACAAAATGTTTCATGTTTTAATGTTGTGAAGCAATACCCCTGAAACCATGCTGGTTTCCATTGTGATTACATTAAATACTGATAAACTACAGTTGAAAATTGACATATATTTCTTATGAATAACTGATGGATTACTACCTAAGTGCCTTTGTGCCATCAACAACTAGATTATTATAAAAACTGAATTTCTTATGTTCTTTGATGACCTTTTAAATGTATTAGCTGGTGAAAAGGTACAGTGGATAGAAGTTCTCTTGTACAAATAAAATGTAAATAATAAACATCTATATGTTTGCAAATTTGCCAGCAGTCCTGCTGGGACTTTATTTTATTATTATTAATTAATTTTTTTTGAGTTGGAGTCTCACTCTGTCGCCCAGACTGGAGTGCAGTGGCCGCTCCCGGCTACCGCAGCCTCAACCTGCTGGGCTCCAGCGATCCTTCCGCCTCAGCCTTCCAAGTAGCTGGAACTACAGGCACGCGCTACCACACCTGGCTAATTTTTTGATTTTTACTGTAGACATGAAGTCTCACCAAGTTGCCCAGGTGCGTCTCATACCCACGGGTTCAGGCAGTCCGCTCACTTCGGCCTCCCAAAGCGCGGAATTACAGGCTGAGTCACCGAGCCCGGCCTTATTTTATTTTTGAGTTGGCGTCTCACTCCGTCACCCAGGCTGGAGTGCAGTGGCACGCTCACGGCCACCCCAGTGTCCACCTGCTGGGCTCTGGTGATCCTTCTGCCTCAGTCTTCCAAGTAGCCAGAACTACAGGCGCGCGCTACCACGTCCAGCTAATTTTTTATTTATTGTAAAGACGAAGTCTCACGAAGTTGTCTGGGCAGGTCTTGAACCCACGGGCTCAGGCGGTCCACTCACCTAGGCCTCCTAAAGTGCTGAGATTATAGGCTGAGCCACCGAGCCCAGTTGGGAATACACACACACACACACACACACACACACACACACACACACACACACATCAGCTTTATTGAGTTTCAATTCACATACCATACCATTTCCTCATTTAAAGTATACCATTTGGTGGGTTTTTAGTGTATTCAGAATTGTACAACTGTTACAACTATCAATTTTAGAATATTTCCTCAGGTCAAAAAGACACCCCATACTCATTAGCAGTCATTCCTCATTTCTCTTTAATTCTACCCCCACCTCTACTCCTGCCTTTGGCAAGGACTCATCTACTTTCTATCTCTGTAGATTTGCCTATTCAGCACATTTTATATAAATGGAACCATATAGCAGGGGGTGCCAAAAAATGTATACACATTTTAAGCACTGTTATCTATGTATTATTTTTAGTTCTTTGTAATCAGAAGTGTCTGGAAACTGATTGTAACCACTTTGAGCACCACTTGTTTTTGTTTTGTTTTTTTTTTTGAGTTGAAGTCTCACTCTGTCGCCCAGACTGGAGTGCAGTGGCCGCTCCCGGCCACCGCAGCCTCGACCTGCTGGGCTCCGGCGATCCTTCCACCTCAGCCTTCCGAGTAGCCGGAATTACAGGCATGCGCTACCACGCCCGGCTGATTTTTTGATTTACTGTATAGATGAGGTCTCGCTGCCCAGGCGGGTCTCGAACCTGTGGGCTCAGGCAATCCACTCACCTCAGCCTCCCAAAGGCGCGGGATTACAGGCTGAGCCACCGAACCCGGCTGAGCACCACTTGTAAACATGACTTGTATTCATATTTTGTTATTGTTATATATTGAATATTACAATTTTAATAGTTTTCCTTTCTTAAAATGTGTATTTGTTTTCTTTGCACACTGTAGTATGTCTTTTGTGACTGGCCTCTTGCACTTAGCATAATGTTTTCAAGGTCTATCTGTATTGTAGCATATATCAGACTTCATTTATTTTTATTTTTGAAAATACTTCATTTCCTGGGTGTATCACATTTTGTTCATTCATTTACCAGTTGATAGATATTTGGCTTTTTCCACTTTTTTGTCATTATGAATAATGCTGCTATTAACATTTGTGAATCTTTTTTTTTTTTTTTTTTTTTTTTTTTTT